AATTTACTTCATAGTTGTAAAATTACAAATAAGCAAAATATGTTAGATAAGAGATTTAGGGTGTTAAGACTAAGGGCATGGTAGGAAAACGCGCGGGTGAATGTCGTCGAAAAAAGAGTACTTAACGAGAAGTAAGGGAAAGGAAATAGCGGAGAAAGAATACCGTGGATTTCGGCCACCGTATAGAAGTACGGAGGTAGGTGCAGGCAAGGAAGTCTCATCTGTAGTAATCACTGTAGACCCGAAAGTCATCGGTTCAAAGAGCCTTCAGGAGTTAGAACAACTTTTCAGTCAAAAAAGTGGAAGCGAGGTCAAGAATCGGAGTGACAAAAGTGACGACGTAAGCGTTTTGGAGTTGGTAACAGAGAACCGGGTTAATCGTGTCGAAACTGGTGAGTCGACAGAAAGAGGTGACGAAAGAAAAGTGGACGCAATGGCGAATACGACGCTTCATGAGGTCCTTAATGCGACAAAAACCTCGGCACCGTTGGCCGAGACTTTCCGGATGTTTAGCACACCAAATATGAGTAGGGTGGATATCAAAACCCTGGTATTTAAGATAAGTGACGTCAGAGGGATGACGTTGATGAACAACCTAGTGATAGAAAATTAATTATTTTTTTTTTTTGTTTAGCAATAAAAATAGGTTAGAATAAGTTAGACTAAAAGGTTCTGGGAAATGTTTTTACGTGGAATTAATATTGAAATATTTTAGATTTTGACTTTGTTGTAACAAAAGTAATAGGGAAGCCGAAGAGCAAGATTGAATTTGCGAAAGAAAACAGGTAAGACAGGTACCAAGAGAGGACAAGAGGGAAAAGAAACTGCGGAAATTGATGCCCGGGAGAAGAGGACATAAGAGGTGTCCAAGTAGAAAACTTGTGGTGAAGTGGCCGCAAGTCTTGGCAAGGGGTTGCCAAGTCCGTGGTGGTGAAGCCACGAGGTTGAAGCACAGGAGGTGCTGGAAAAAAAATTTTGTGACACAGAGGTCGCAAGTCCGTGGCGGGGTAGTCACGAGGGTCCGTGGCGGAATAGTCACGTGGGAGAAGCACAGAGGGTGCGAAGATTAGGGCYAGGAGTACCGTGCTACGTCGAGAAGCATGAAGAATTTCCGTAGGTTTGAATCAAAGACAAAAGGAGAACGGTAGAAAAGAGTGAGTGCCTGTGSGGTAGAATTAATTTTTTTTAGGAAGAGATCTCTCGGAAAGTGAAACATCGGCGAAGTTTAGGAAAAGAAGAATTAGGAACTGGCCATTCCTGGTTCATTTCATCACGTAACAAGGCGAAAGTAGGAAAGGGAGATCGAACCATGTTGAAGCATTAAGAGGAATTAATATAAAAAGTCAAAATCGTAAGTAGGTTTATAATTTTTATTGGGAGAAATTGAAAAKYYGAACATTTTGGAAAAAMATCCATAAGTAATAAATTTCGGYTTTAAGTTTAAATTACKAAGTTTGAGTGTAATGTGGCTGATCAGCAGAAAGCTAAAGACAGTCACATTCCAGTCAAGGTCGATGCAGCAAGAATGGATGACGCGTTGAAAATTCATTCTTGTCAGCACCATATSTTAGAGTAAACAAAGTAATGTAAAGCTGAAAGGCTCCGGTTTCAAAATATTGTTAGTATTAAGATAGGTAAGGATTAATTGTTAATTGTTTGTTTCTTTTTCTGTCCAACGTCCACGAGAAGAGACTCGAGGAAGGAGATGAACACCAGGGATCGAATGGTCGGTYGGGGAGAGCTGAAGGAGAGGCGGGTTGCTACAAAGGGAGAAAGTAAAAACGTTACCGGGAAACCTCGTTGTGCACCAAAACGAAGAAATTAAGGACTTCTTAGACCAGAACAACAAGTCGGAAGTTCCTGTCGATTAAARTTTCTGTGACGTAACAAGGTCGATGAAAGAAAATGAGAAGAAAAGTTAAATGTTGGTGACAATGAAGTAAGAACAAAAGTTGCGAGGGTTGGAGACCTAGCGGCCAAGCTCAAATAACATCAGGCCGCTACAGGCGTACGTTCGATGAGGGTGGACCTTCAAACAAGAGAAGCCTTGGTCCACGCACGCTAATCCGGAAGCATCTCCCTGACCTGAGCCATTTGAAGAAGGAAGAGTTTTACACAATGGTGGTGTTCACGTACAAGATCGATCGAGGAGGACGTTGATGTGGATCGTTGGCAGACTTTAGAATTGTAATTGTTAGGGTAGATTTAAGGTGGTTTGTCGAGGCGACAAACTTGTGAGGCCGGGCATATGTCACAAAGGGGGTCAACTTCCTGGTATTCCGTAACGAGTTGTGTTTCGAAAGGTTGGTTTTGCTAACATTTGAATTCCTAAGTTCCGAACTGGAGCGCGGGGTCATAA